GCCTGTGACTGTGTGTGACTGTCTGCCTGTAACTGAGTGTGTGACTGTCTGTCTGTAACTGACTGTGTGACTGTCTGTCTGTAACTGAGTGTGTGACTGTCTGCCTGTAAATGTGTGTGTGGGGCTGCAGGGATTTTGCAGAAGGGGGCGGGGGTTTTGTATTGGGACAGGAGTCTTTATAAGGGGGGGATAAGCAGGGGATTTGTGGAAGGTGGTTGCAGGGGTTTTGTAGACGGGGCAGTACAGGATTTGTAGAAGGGGCAGGACAGAGGTTTTGTAGGAGGGGCGGGGCAGGACAAGGGTTTTGTAGGAGGGGCTGACAGTGGTTTTGCAAAGTTTACAAATTGTAAAAAAAAAAGAAAAAACCTTTAACATTTTTTACAGGTTTTTTTTGCGTGGGGAAGCAAGCACAGGATCCGCCCCGGGTGCCAACTGCTCTAGGTACGCCCCTGGTGTGCAGTTAAGTTTTAATTCACTAGTAAATAACCCTTTGAGTTGTATTGCTGTGGCTCTGTGATAAAATCAAAGAAAACACATCAATGTGAGTTTTTTGCTTTGGAACTAGGCGATGCTATCATACTAACCACATCACTGATTTTTTGGAATGTGAGTTCTTGAGTTCTGGATCTCTCACACATAACCACTTCTTACTTATAATGATTCATACTCAGGGCTGGACTGGGAAAAAAAGTTTAATAAAAAGGGCAGAGCACCACCAGCCATTTGCCAAGTTTGCCCAATTTCCAGATATACTCATGAAATACAAAGATACATTCATAACATACACTCCAAAATACACACAGATACACTTTCAGACAAGCACACACAGTTATGCTCAGAAGTTTGCATACCCTTGGAGAATCGGTAATATTTGTACCATTTTTAAAGAAAACATGAGTGAGCAGGCAAAACACATTTCTTTTATATTTCTTTCTTTCATATTCAACTGTAGGTTATAACAGAATGGCACAATCATAAAACCAAACATGGCAACAAAGAAAAAAACGAAATGACCCCTGTTCAAAAGTCTGCATACCCTTAGTTCTTAATACGGTGTATTGCCCCCTTAAGCATCAATGACAGCTTGCAGTCTTTTGTAATAGTTGCCTATTAGGCCCCTAATTCTTGCAGGTGGTATAGCTGCCCATTCGTCTTGGTAAAATACCTCTAGTTCATGCAAAGTCTTTGGTAGTCTTGCATGAACAGCAGAGTGTCTATATCAGTGATGGCGAACCTTTTTGAGCCCGAGTGCCCAAACCGCAATACATGCCAACTTTTTTTCTCCTTAAAGTGCCAACACGGCAATTAAACCCAAATACTGAGGTTTAAGTTTAGAAAAAAACAACTCGTACTGTTGTCCTAACTAATAACTTTTGTTTTAAAAGAACACAGAGAGTTCAATAATACAAATTTTAAATAATGATATAAATAGATAAAATTAAGCTTATATTTATTAGTATCTCCAACAAATGCAATACATACACACACAGACTGCTGAATACATACACACAGTCTGCTGAATACACACACACACACACACACACACAAGACTGCTGAATACAGAGACTGATGAATACACACACACAGTCTGCTGAATACACATACAGACAGACTGCTGAGTGTACACACACACACAAACTGCTGAGTACACACAGACTGCTGAGTACACACACACACAGACTGCTGAGTACACACACACAGTCCGCTGAATACACGCACACACACAGACTACTGAATACACGCACACACAGACTGCTGAATACACGCACACACACACAGGCTGCTGAATACACACATACTGCATTGAGGTGGGGGGTGCTGTGTGTGGGGGGGTGCTTGTGGGGGGTGCGTGTGTGTGTGAGTGTTGTATTTGAGGGGTGATATGTGTTTGTGAGGGGTGCTGTGTGTGTGTGGGGTGCGCTGTGTGTGTGTGGGGGGTGCTGTGTGTGTGTGTGTGGGGTGCTGTGTGTGTGTGTGTGCTGTATGTGTCAGGGTGCTGCTGGGGGTAGGGGTGCTACTGGGGGTAGGGGTACTGCTGGGGGTAGGGGTACTGTGTGTGTGGGGTAGGGGGTACTGCTGGGGGGTACTGTGTGTGGGGGGTAGGGGTACTGTGTGTGGAGTTAGGGGTACTGCTGGGGGGTAGGGGTACTGCTGGGGAGGGTAGGGGTACTGCTGGGGGAATAGGGGTGCTGGGGGGTAAGGGTACTTCTGGGGGGGTAAGGGTGTTGTGTGTCAGTATACCCCCCTCCCTCCTTCTTACCTTTAATGAAGTGTGGGGGGGGACACAGCCATCCCTGGTGGTCCGGTGGTGGTAAGCACTGCAGGGGGAGTGATCTGTGATGCAGCTCCCCTGTCGTCCTGCGCAATGCTGTGTGGAGCGTTGCCATGGTAACGCGCGGCAATGCTCCACACAGTATCGCCCGGGAGGACAGGGGAGCTGCATCACAGATCCCTCCCCCTGCCTCCCGACCCGGAAGCAGAGTAGGCGCCTGCCGTTTCGGGCAGGCAGGTGCCTACTCTGCATTGATGGCGAACCTGTGGCCGCGTGCCCACAGAAAGGGCCTTTTGTTTAGGGTTATTGTCATACTGGAAAGTCCAAGAGCATCCAATGTGCAGCTTTCGTGCAGAAGAACGCGAATTGTCTGCCAGTATTTTCTGATAACATGCTTCACAAGATCCCCGGTGCCTTTAGAGCTCACACACCCCTAAAACATAATTGAGCCACCACCATGTGTCACAGTGGGGATGGTATTCTTTTCACTATAGGCCTTGTGGACCCCTCTCCAAACATAGCGCTTGTGGTTGTGACAATAAAGCTCTATTTTCGTCTCGTCACTCCAAATCACAGTGTGTCAGAAGCTGTGAGGCGTGTCAAGGTGTTGTCAGGCATGTTGTGTTTGTGGCATTGGCGCAGTAAAGGCC